AAAACGTATGAAATAGTGGAATAGGGATCGTCAAAAAAGTACAGAAACAAATTGAATCAAAATACAAAAATTCCACTAAAATGGATAAGTACTGTAGACGTGAAGTCAAAATAGGTTGTAGCTTGAGAAAACAGTGTAGACACTATTTCTAGCCTAGTTTGTTTACTTTCTGTAGAGTCCCTAGTTGTAAGCTTGAAAATATAATTTTTGCATTTTGATTCAATTTATTTCTGTACTTTTTTGATGATCCTTATTCCCCTCTATAAATTATCGGAGGTCGACCTGGATTCGAATCCCTACCATACCACAAAATACTTGTCGCCTCCAAATTTAAGCTGTAGGTGCATTATAAGAATGACAGTCAATCTCTTAACATGGATGGTAGGGTGCTACTAATTGTTTTTTGTAGTTTTTTGGGGGTCGGTTGTTCAAGATTAGTAGCTTTGCCGTAAATACAATGTTATTTTTAGCGTCCTATGTACACTTACCGATGTCCTGATGTTTTTTGATATGTTGAACAATACTTTTAGTTTAAAACACGTGTTTATGCTAGCTAGCATCTTTCTGTGGTTATTTACAGATAAAGGTACATGTTGGAATATATATATATACGAGTACTGTGTTGCGTTTCGGTCTTAAGTTCAAATCAGACACAAGTGAATAGAGTTTTAGTCAAGAGAATCGCCCACACACACACAAAACAGATTTTGTTACTATGGAAACAGAAGACCTTAATTCAATCGCACGTCCACAAACACACACACACACACACAAACAGCTTTGGTTACTATGGAAACAGAAGTCCTTAATTCAATCGCATATCCACAAGTACACACACACAAACAGAATTGGTTACTATGGAAACAGAAGACCTTAATTCAATCGCACATCTAAAACACACACACACACACAAACAGATTTGGTTGCTATGGAAACAGAAGTCCTTAATTCAATCGCACATCCACAAACACACACACACACACACAAACAGCTTTGGTTACTATGGAAACAGAAAGTCCTTAATTCAAACTTTATTGTCATTTCTATTTTCAGTCGAAGTCTTTTCTTACAACTGCCCTCTAATTAACTTTGTTGTTAATTGCATCTTTTATCTTTCTCGTAATTAAATCTTTCGTTTCTCATGCGGATAGCCATTGGGAAAACGCTCAATAGTTTAGTGAAAAAAAAAAAAGTGTTTTCTCAGTTCATCTTCTCTCATAATGAAGGTACAATAGGGATGTCTGTTTTTCGTAGAGTGACGAACGCATCGCTGCCATAAATAGAGTTACACGGGTGTTGCCTCAACTTTATCAGTGAAGCCAAGCAGAGGAAGACTCAAGATACTGATGATAAATATTGGTCTTGTGTACTAGGTGGACTGGTTTGTAACAAAGGATAGGAAATTGTGCTTCTATTTTTTCCTTAACACAATAAACATTAAAAGCGCAATAAAAAAAACACTGTTTGTTTGTTTGTTTGAAGTTAAGCACAAAGCTATACAATGGGCTATCTGTGGTCTGCTCACCACGGGTATCGAAACCCAGTTTCTAGTGTTGTAAGTCCGGAGACATACCACTGTGCCACTGGGGGGGGGCTTATAAAATACACGAAATACTGAAAAGAAAGACATTATTTTCAAGAATTCTGTCAATAAGAAATTATATGGGAGTCCCCCCGTCAATAAGAAATTATGTGGGGGTCCCCTTCCCATGTCATCCTGTAAGACTGTGTAAAGTTTGGTGGAAACGTATAAGGAACAGATACACGTACTCAAACACACACACACACACACACACACACATATATATATATATTGACGTTTATTTATATAGATATAAAAGTAAATTTAATAGTGGGAGGAATATTCATCTAGAAACATGACAGTAAAAATAGTTGAACCAGCAGAAACCTTACAGTCTGTTGTACTTGGTTTTCTGTTACTATTTCAGTGAGTTTTCTAACAGTAGACGATTACCATGGTAGATTTCTCTACTCCTGTGAGTGGTGATTTATTCTACTGGTTTTTGGACTTCGATTGTTGAACGCGTGTTTACACGAAACCTCTGGTACAAAACCACCTGGCTCGGTAAATAATGGTTGGGTGGAAAATAAGCCAATGCAGCAGTAAACTGTTGAAAAACATGTAATATTCAACTGAATGTATATAGAGCTTTAAATGTATTCTCCATAAATAGACATAAAAAACCTTAAGAAACAAGATATTTAAAAACTGTTAATTTAAAAAGGAGAACTCCAGAAACAAGGATGAATCCTCAACGTGATAGTTTACAATTAATGTGCTATAAGTTACACTAATTATATTCAAATTAATTTGTATTAGTAAAGTGGTGGAAAGTGGAGGACTTAGAGCAGTGATTCTGAACGTGGGGCGCACGCCCCACAGGGGGACAATTTGAATATATTGGGGGGCAATTTGAAAATGCTACAATAAGAAAAATTAAACTCCTATTTTTTAGTAAATTTCTAAAGTTCACATTGTATTATTAAACCTTTTCAACCTTTTGTTTTTATATTAAGGGGGCATCAAATTTTTGATGTATCGAAGTTGGGCATGGAGCAAAAAAGGTTAAGAACCACTGACTTAGAGAAATTCTTCAGGGCAAAAAAGACAAAAAAAACGAAAGTGCTTGAATTAATTTTAAACTACCCTATGACATACTCAATGCTGCACTCATTAGTATTGTCCAGGTTTCAGTAAAATATTCGGAGCCGTTTTTCCTGTAGTGACTTGAAAAACTATAATCAATAATAATAATAAGGCTGAAGATAAATATACACATTGTTTACTCCAATAAAAAAGAAAGCATTTCCAACAGTATAACAGTGCTCGAATGGCTTCTACATTTCCGCGATGCTTGCATGATTTCAAAGAGCTTATGTTGGTAGCGAAGAAGAACTTAAACATTTTTAGAGGGCTATGAATGTCGACTTTCAAGAATCAACATAAAAATAGCCCTACAATCTTCGCAGGTGCTTCTTTGGTAGTTGTGCATAGATTTTGGCGTAGTATACCTGTACGCTTCGGTGCTTCAATGGTTTCGAAGAGAAACTTGGCCAATAGTGATGAAAAACTGATAACTTTTCTCCTTCTCTTTCAAGAATCCACATAAAAATAGCCCCACAACCTTCGCAGGTGCTTCTTTGGTAGCTGTGCATAGATTTTGGCGTAGTATACCTAACCGTTTTTATTGTACGCTTCGGTGCTTCAAAGGTTTCGAAGAGAAACTTGGCCAGTAGTGATGAAAAACTGATAACTTTTCTCCTTCTCTTTCAAGAATCC